CAATGACATAAGTAGTCAGTTCTGTAAGTAAATACGTGTGTTTTCTACAAGCACTCTCCACTGATAAGCTGTTCGTTTCTAAGCGTTATGATACTATGAAGCGTAACCTTGAAGGTGACGGAATAATAACAAAGTGCATGCATTGGACCGCAAAAGGCATATTCGTGTCGTGTGTACAGGAGCTGGTAGGAAGGAAAGTTACCCAATACAGGCTCGGTTAAAGTATCTCTCAAACGAAACTTTCATCGGCAGGCTTAACTAAGGTAGGTACGTGATGATGGCAGCCATATTGTACGCGTTAAAGACTGCTTACTGTTTCCATATAAACGAGAGCACAATTGTCCAGAAGCCCTGCAAGAGCAAGTTCGCACACACATACACTAAGCATCTCCACCGTTCAGAGTAACTTTACTATAAAACATTGTCAAGAACTATCCAAAATTTCTTCGATAATTCCTGTTACAACAATTCTACACTAAATTTGGTCTTCAGACGGGATAAAAATGATTTTTACTTGAAGACATACAATTTCCTGTTCATACTTGTGTTCTGCGCGGACTTGATTCTCCAGAGGACGGTCTTCGGTCGTTTCAGTTACCCTGTCTGTGGTCGCAACTTAGGGGTTTTAGTCAAATTCAATAAGGAGCGCCACTTCCTCAGGGAATATTAAATTACTGTCCCAATGCCAAGGTAGTAGTATCAGCTAAAGTCAACGAAACGAGGGCCGAAAGATTTCTCAACGCTTTCAAACGGGAAAACTTATTTACGTGAGATTGCAAGGCTGATAAAAAAAACGTCTGTTTAAGAATCTCTCCAGATATCTGAATACATCAGACCGAAGAACACTGTGAGAGCATTATTATTGATTCCCACCGTCACAGTGAATAAATTCATCATTCGCAGAAGCAATGACTTAAAAAACTTTGCGTGCATAGGTGTGTTTGGGGAGAGATTGGTGTGCACTGATCAGAGGGGACGTGTGCTGTGGGGAATTTTACTGCTTCCGAAGTTTTCCTCACTTTGCTGTCTGACTTCTGAGAAAAGTTTTAAAGGGTGCTGTCTTTATATTTTATAACCTTAGACCGAAACTGTGCAACTTAATCAAAGTCTAGTTAAGGGCATATCGTATTTTCAAAGGAAGGACGGATTTCAGTTTTTGATATTTTTACCCATATGCCTGTGCTTTGAAATCCTGTCTGAATTTTCATCCATTTCAAGGTTTCTAGTGTCAGTTGCACGGCTCGGTCACCATCCAGAATCTGGTTCAGCTTCTTTGGGTTATGGCTACATGAAAAATGCTAAAGTCCTACTCCGGACTGTGTTTTGCCTATGGTCTGCAAGTTCAAATCATCTCGTGGCCTAGCAGCCCCTCTGATCTGAACCGGTACCATCGTCATACCGAAGACAGCATTCTTGCAACGACGCCCTGTAGGGCTTAGTACCTCCCATGAGACACTCTGAAAACTAGGTTTCAGTACGTTGTGGCTGAGGTAGATGACCAAGGCAGCAACAGCAGTTTTCAACTGTAACAATAGTGCAACGAGCTGATATAGCAGGAAGGAAAATGCGAAGGAGCAAAATCGTTAAAACGGTTTTGATCGTATTTCGCTGAGCTTTGGCAAGCCGACGGTCAGGACGATTCGTACAATTGTCTGCCATTCCGTAAGAACAAAGACTTAGGATAGATGCGATGCAGTTACAGCTCACGACATTTAACTCTATAACAAAGACGACAGGACAGGTTG